TAGTCTTACTGCTTTGTTCTGTTCTCCACCACAGCCCAAAGACAAGAGGTAGCTGTCCAAGCTAGAGTACCTTCTCTATAATTGGATCTTGACAATGTATTAAAATGACTCTATTTGGAAAACGAGCTAGATGAGGTCAACCTTGCCTGAGCCTCTGGAGGCTGTGGTATGCTGCTCTCTGAACCAGCACACTGGCATGTTTGTTTGCACACCCGAAAATGTATTGGCCACTTGAATCTGTTATAAATTACCAGCCTGGAAATAAATATCATATCTGAGTCCCAAGTAAGTAACAGATGCAGGAGTGCAGAGTGAGATAAATGCATTTTGGATGCAAACCTCTTTCCCATTGCTCACAGACAGATGGAGGCAGGCCCAGTGCTGGTTTGCAGTCGATCTGTGTGCTGTGTAGGTGGGACTTAAATGAACTGAAAGTTCTTTTAAGGTTAGGAAGTTTTCCTCACTAGCTCTTGGCAAATCCCCAGAGGAGACACAATCGAGCAATGCATTTCCTTTTATCGCCTTTGCTAAGGAATCGCTCTCGTGATTTGAATTTTTCCTCTTTGGGAACTGTTTGAGTTTCTGGAGTCCAGAGAAGGTCTTTTTGCTCAGATGTGGGATGGGGACAGGCATGTGGCACATATGCATTCAGTGTGGTTTTACCAGGGTTGAGAGCCAAGACAAACACTTCAATGCTGAGAGCATAGCCACAAGCAAGCTAGGCACAGCCCTGCCTTAGTAAGCCTCCCACAACACGGGGTGGGGGGGGGGCAGGGTTAGACAGTGGTTTAAATGAATAAGCCATCTGGTGATCGGTGCTTTGAAGGAAAGCTCAGTTGGTAAAATGCCATGAGAATCCATAAAAAGCCATGTTGGGCAGTATTGCTGCAATCCCAGCACTGGGGATGTAGAGACAGGAGGTCCCTAGGTGCTTGCTGGCCAGGCAGTCTAGTCAAACCAACAATCTCCAGGTTCACTGATAAGAGTGATTGACAAAGACATCAGACATCAACCTCTGCCCCCCACACATGTGCACATACACCTCCAAACACATGTGAATGCATACATGAACACACGCGCATACAAAATGGAAGGAAAAAAGCCAGGGATAGGTGAGAGAAGCAGACAGTGGCCCGGCACTAAGTCTTCTAGACAGAAATATGACTACTACTTCTGAAGAAGTAAGTCCATGGGCAATGGGTACAGCAGTGGGAAGACTAGACAGACTGATGATGGCACAAAGTGGGGATGCAGGAATATTAGGAGGCCCAAACTAGAATCTGATTAAACCACCACCTCTTCAGAGAACCTTTTTCTGGTCTCATAGTTAAGTCAGTTCCCATGGATGCTCTACAGAGCCCCCACATCTTCCCTGGGAGGTTCCTGACCCAGTTCATATCTGTCTATGAGCTACTCCAAAGCAGAGCCTATATCTGTCTGGTTCATTATTGGGTTCCCGTGCATTCTGCATAGTAGAATGTGATGCTTGCTGGTTGAATCTGAAATGACTGTGCAAGCAAAGGAAAGCACCAAATAGTGAGCCTCAGCAGGCCAACCTCACAATTAATGTGGAATTTCTTATCCAGAACGTTTTACCATTAACTTTCAAGTACGTCTGAACCTTTCAAACCCTAGTTTCTTCCAAAGTCTTTGCCAATGCAAAACCCACCCATGCATGCATCCTACTGGCCAACCTTTGCAGAAAGCCACACCCAGATCTGGGTGGTATGTCTGATGACACAGAAGAAGAGAAGTATAAAAGTATTTAGTGCTGCTCATTTACCTGTATTCACTGGGTATCTGTGAAGCCCTGTGGAGTCTCTCAAGAAAAAGGAGAAGCATGAGGAAGGAGTTACCTCTGTAACACAGAAGAGGCCATGTCTAAAGTCCTGCGTACTGAGGCTGTAACACAAGATGAGTGTACTCAGGGAGCAGACGCAGAAAGACATCTGGAAGACAAGTTCAAGATGAGGATGCAGAGGTGTAGTTACTCTAAGAGGAAGCATTTAGACATTACTATGCAAGCGAAGAAGAGTCACTACAGCAAAAGAAAAAAGAAAAAAAACCTGACCCCTCTGGTGTATCCTGAGAAGCCCACTACTGCAGGAAGCAGATAAGCTTCGGGAGTAAAAATGGGTTCTTGGAAGATACCAGGAGCTTTAGCCCAGGCCAGGGAAGACTGTGAACAGCTGATGATGGACATGGGACAAGAACCCTCTGGGTTCTAAGGAGTTATTTTCTGTTCCCAAACCTGCTTAAGGCCCCAGGATCTAATTCTTCTATCCAGCCTGCATAGCCCTGTCCATCTTGACTCAGAGTGACAGATATGCCTTTCCATCCCTTTGTTCGTGGAGGAGAGCTCAGTTACTCCTAAAGGCACAGTATGCACTCTTAATCTTCAAAGCATCTCAAAAAATGTTTGCCAAATGATCAATAATATAATTATAATAACAAATGAAGACATGTAAAAATCTTAGAATTGTGCCCAGTACATATTATAGGAATTGTCATATATTAACTTATTTAATCTTATTTAATGTATTTTGAATGGTCTAATCCCCATTTTATCAATATAACTGGGACACAAAGAAATTAAATAACTAATCCTAAATGACACAGTCTGGAAGGGACAGAACCAAAATTCAAACCTAGACAACTAAGTTGGTCTATGGTAAATATAATCCACATGATATGCTGTCTTTTTGGTTGGTTTGTCATAGCTTGTTTATGTGGTATTTTCTCTAAGTCTGATGCTATATAAGGCTTATGGAGAATAGTTTCAATAGGGGTTAATTGTGTCAGCTGAGTGTTCTCATTAAGTATAGGGGACCCTTTGCAGTAATCATGGTGTGTGGTTAATCTAGACATGTATTTTAGTATATGGTTAATTTATCCAGGCATTTTCATTGCTGTAACTGACTATCTGAGTAAGACAACTTAAAGGAGGAAGTATTTATTTTGGCTCACAGTTTTAGAGGTGTCAATCCCTCTATCCTAACAAGAGGGTGTGGCAGAGCACAACAGTTCACATCAGAGTTTACATCCCAATCAGGAAGCAGAAAAAGGGAGTTATAGGAGCAGAACAAGACAAGAATCTCCAAGATCACTCTCCCACTTCCACTAACTAGGCCTCCCCTTCTCCCTATAATACTATCACTAAATGCTGATCATATTTGATACTCTATACTAGACTTGAACTTTTATTCAATACGATACAGTTCTTATTCAACACAATACACTGTTCCACTGTGACTAAGGAGGCCCTCCATCCATTCCACTCCCAAGTAAAACACAGTGTCATCTATAGCCACTTTTCCTTGAGACTAGGATGCTACAGGCCACCAAGTTAGTTCAATGCCATGGAGCACATCATAAGCACAGGCTTATGGGAGCACTCTGAAAGAACCAGGGAAATCATAAACTGGTCTTCAAATCAGCAAATAGCTCTTGGCCGTCTGAGTTCACACTTCTACATGGTCCTCTCTGCACCCAGAACTTTCCTATAACCAGAGAGAAGCAATTCCTTTCTCTGACTGTTAACAATGTGCAGTCAAAAATACATCTGTCTTTCTGTTTCCTACTCCAGGTAGACCTAGTATTGGAATCTGCATATGATTGTAGCTCAGGAAAAGCTTGTTGGTTGTTGGTGTCCACCACAAACCTGAAATGCCTTCTCCCACTATTTTTGGGTACCTGAGCATAAAGAATGCCTAGGGAAAGCCTGGATGGGCCCTCACAAGTAGTCACAATAACAGCTAATGCTATACAGCTATGTACTCTACACATGTGGTCTTTGCTACTTCTCTGAAATACTATCCCCATTTTGGCCTATGAGAACACCCAGGTAGCTGGGAAGAGATACATCCTAATATTGTGCTGGTTTCAGTCTTTGACTGGAAACTCTTCACTGTGTTTTTCTCCTATTATCCAGGGGTACCACCGACCCCGGCACTACATTGCAACCCAAGGTAAGTTTCTTGTAGTGACCTCAAGGATGTCTAAGAAGAGGGATTTTTGGAAATATCAGGGTGAACCCTATTATCCACTCTTCCTTTCTCTGTTATCCCAAAGCTCTTTTTCCATTAAATGGTCTGGCTTCTCCTGAAGGGAGGGAATGAACATTCACAGACAAAGAAGCCAGAGAGATGAGGCCGCAAAACCTGCAGAAGCCCTTGAGGAGCAAGGTGATGACAAGTTGAGCTTAGACTAGCAGCAGAAAGAGCTGTCACTAAGAAATATCATTAAGAGGGAAGGGACCATATATGGGGTGACCAAAAAAGAAAAAAACCTCAGCAGGCTACCCAACAGATGTTCCTGTCCCTTCAGTGAGTACATGTCCACAAGAGAGATGCAGCCAGTTACCCTGAAAAGCAGTGTGGCAGTATGCTATCAGAGGGCTTAAAAATGACTATGCCTTCTAAAACCTCCTGGGGGAAGTCCTGCAGATAATTATATGTGTGGAACTTGACACATATAAAAAGCATTTTTCATAATGTTATCATGTCATCTGTAATAGGGAAAAGTGAAAACTAAATTCCCAATAATAGACAGGTTGGTTAAATAACATATGGTAGCTCCATGTTGTAGAAAGCTCTATAGCTATGAAAAATATCATTTTTGAGGCTATGAAAAAGTATTTATAATAGACCTGGTGCTTATTGAAGAAAATGTATATTACATGCAAAACACAGGAAAATACTATTCAAATTTTCTTTCAAATGCATGAATTGCTTTTGTAATTTTGAAATTGATGAAGACCCAGGATATTAAGAATTGCTTCCTAGGAAATTGCTTTGGTCTGTCAGATCCTATCTCCCATTCCTTGCTTTTCTGCCCTTTTCCTTTGTTTTTTCTTTTTTGTTTTCTGTGTTTTAATCCTCTTTTTCCTGGTCAAACTTCAGATGAATGTCTCTGGTATTTGTCAAACTCAAAACTGTACCCTCTTGCTTTTGGCAGCTCCACCCTCCCCATTCTAATTCCCTCACTATCTCTCATTGAGATCCCGCTGTCCAGTTTTTGAAACATCCCTTTGGACATGATCTAAACTATAGTCCAGATAAAGTAGTGGACTGGGAAAAAGTGGAGCTGCTGGGCTGAGCATGAAGGTCGCAACGAGGATAGGGAGGATGCTACAGACCACAGATACCTAAAATGTGGGATTTGTTTTTCTTATCTGTGCTGTGTTATGGTCCCAACAGACTCATGCCTCTGGCCTCAGTCTCAACTACTTGGTGTCCCACTTAGGCTCCCCTGGCTTCACTCTTACCATCCATGTCAAACCTTGACTAAACAGCCGAGAGACAACCCTTTCAGCATCTACTTTATACCCACAGTCTCTAACCCCATCACCTTTTCTGTTGGCAGGTCCGATGCAAGAGACTGTGAAGGACTTTTGGAGAATGATCTGGCAGGAAAACTCTGCTAGCATCGTCATGGTCACAAACCTTGTGGAAGTGGGCAGGGTAAGCCTCTCCTTCAGTTGTGTGGGCAGAGGGTGGTGGAGATGCACCCTGGTGTGCCTGGTGCCAGCATTGTGCCACCAGCTTCCTAAACAGTGCTGCACCCTTACAGCAGCCTATAGGGATGGGAGATACCATACTCCTGCTTCCCATGTGAGCAGTGTTCTGTCCCTTCAAGTCTCCCATCCCATTTCTATCCTTTCTCTCCACTGATAATGCCATCTCATATATTTTGAGGAAATTAAAGCCATCAGATGGGAATGCTCTCACCAACACATCACAAACCTATAATCTTATTTGTATCTATAGCCATCTTCACATCCTTCTCTTCTGCTGTCAGGTCTAGCCATGAGAAAGGGCTGTTTCTGTTGACTCCAAAAGGTTGACTATTGGCCATTTCTTATGACAAAGCCCAATATGACAGACACTTACTTTCTGCCCTTTGGCAGGTGACCCTTGGGAAGATGCCCTCTGTGAGGTCACTGTAAGCCTGTGTTTGCCCCCACCCCATGTCTGTTACCCAAACATTCTTTTCCCATTAAAGAGCCTGCTCTTCCCTAGCAGAATAGAATGAAGTTGCACTAGAAAAGCCAGAGGGGCATGGCAGTAAAGCAACCACGAGTCCCTGAGAAGCAAGGAGTAACACACTCAGCTTTGAAGGGAGGGAAGAGTCCCCATCACTAGGATATATCATTAAGATGGAAGGAGCCAGGCAGGACAGATCAGATAAATTAATATCCTCAGGTGCAGTGCAACAAGACTCTGAGATTTTCTCATATTCCCCTCTCATTTGAAATCTAGGATTCTTCTTCATCGCTGAATTATTTAATTCAGCATGTGAACATGCTCAGTAATTTCCATCCCAGAGGGACAAAAACACACCACCAAATGAGTCACAAAACAAAAGCAAACCTCATGAGCCCGCTGAAGTGAGGGTAGGGATGGGGAGAGGATGGATAGCAGCGGTAAAAAGATAGGGGAGGAAGAGTAATCTGAATAAATTGTAGTTGTGTATGAAATAGTCACAACTAATGACTACAAAATGATTAGAAACATTTGTAAAGCCAAGCAAAGGCACCTCCCCTGTTCCATGTTTCTGCTGAATCTCGAGGACTCACAGAGGGTTTGTGTCGTCACTCCTCTATCCACCTCAGCATGGCAGATCTTTTCATTCCACCAGCAGTGACATCGTCAACATCACTTCCTTTGTGTTGACAAACCCAGGCTCCACGTCTCTCTCTCTTCATCTCTCTTCTCCTCTCAGCGGCATCTCACTCTCTACTACCTGCTCTTCCTCCCCTGACTGTGAAACCTCATCAGGGTTCAGACTTCTGTCTCCCTTTCTGTTCTATCTAGATTGGGTCCTAAATTGCGCTTAGCTAGAGCTTAGAAATGGGACCATTGTTTCCAGCTCTGCTTTTGCCTCTTTGATGAACTGTGGCCTGTGGGTGGATGGGTGGGTTGCACCATTGAAAGGCTGATGTACAAATATCTAAACTCAAAGGGCTCCCATACGGTATACAAACTATACAAGAGTAGACAAGTGAATTTTTGTAGATAATCAGGATAAAACGTCCTGGCCACACAGGTGGAGAAGAAGCTGTCATAGTGTATTGAAAGGGTGTAGACATCTCGTTGCCTAATAGTGGGTCAGGGCCAAGTGAGACTTTATCCTTGTGCATTTACCTTTATCTGGTCCATTCCCCAGTTTTACAGATGAGGCATGGGTGCAAAAGGATGAATACCTGAATCAATTAGCTCTAACCTTATTCTTGACTCTCATTCTATTACTTGTAGCCCCACTGTTCAGGTGCCTTCCTGGGACTAAGACCCAGGATGCAACTCCAGTGGGTAACAAGAGAAACTCAGGGTTGGAGAATTCCAGCCTGGCCCACATCACATTCCATATTTTGAAACAAATTCTCCTGGTGATGGGGGGTGATAGACTGTGAATTGAAACTGGGCTTAGGTGGGGAAAGCAGTTTCATAGTGGAACTCCTGCTAGTGACCAACTCACAAACTACATTGTATTTATCTCACAATAATCATACAAGGCAGTGTTCCTGGTCATGATACAGTCAGTCTGGGCTTGGTCCTCACTCCATCCCTGGCAGCTGTTGCCTTTGAACAGTTTCCTTGGCTTCTCCATGTTTAAATCCTCATCTGTAAAATGTGGGTGAACATATCATCTAAGGTTATGGTGACATAAAATGAAAACAATGCATACGAATAAGTCATAGGATGCTTAGTAGGCAGTGCTAGACGAGGTAAGTATCTGCTCTCCTTAACTCTAGGAATCTAAGGCTTTCTAGAAGGCTCTCATCTCTAAAGTCTTAGAATCTAGCAATGGTCTCCAAACCCTGTGCACTCTCAGTGTTTCCCTAAGTGGGTTCCATGGGATGCTAGTCTGCAGGCTGACTAGTGAGCAGAGGGTTCCATGGTTAAATACGTTTGGGAAATGCTGTGTCCTCTGCCCCTGTTGGAGAGTCCTAAGATATTTAACAAAATTAGTACTTCTGAGGATCTAAGGTCATGTTTTAGCAAAGCAGCTTGTTTAAATTTGTTGAAACAGCATCTCCCAAACTCATTTGACCACAAAACCTTTTTGTGTTTGTTTTGTTTTTGTTTTCTTTTGTTTTGTTTCTTGTTTTTTGTTTTTGTTTTTTGTTTTTGTTTTGTTTACCTAACGCCTATTAGCACCCAGCGGAACACACTGTGGGAAATGCCACGCTAGGCCGTGCGTCGTCCCCCGGAATGGTAATAACACTTTTGCTATTTTAAGGGGAAAACCATGATTTCTTTTGCTCTCTGTAGAACTTAGAGTCAAATGTGGGGACTGCTTGCTGGTAGCATAGGTACCCACCGCTGGGGCAGAGAGAGCAATAGTACATCTTCCCGTTGAGCTCAGGACTGTCTGTCTCTTCCCCAACTAAGAGCCTTTTTCCTTCCAGTCCCTAGTGACCGCCTCTTTATAAGGACCCTCTCCTAAACCCCTCTGCTTCTACCTCCTCACTGGTTTCCTCCTGAATTTCTCATCCTTGCTCAGATAACAAGGTTCAGCACCCCTGTGCTGACACAGCAGAAAATTACCACGTCACCATCTCCAGTACTGTTATTCATCTGCTAAGTGGGGATGATATACTTTCCCATCTTACCTAGTTCTTTCTGATGGCTTAGGGTAGCAATGCACTGGAAAGTCACCAGGAGCTGTAAGAGAAGAGACTGCTATTATTTTTAATGACCCCAGTGACTCTGGCAGTGAGTTAGGCCCTGTACAGTTTGCTGATCCCTGACCACTGAGCGCCCCATGGGCTGAAATGCCTCCAAAGTCACCCTTGGGGTTATTTGGATGGGAAAAGCAAAGGAGTTGGCTGCTCACACTTGGCACTCTGTTTATGCACACTCCTCCCTGTCCTTTCCCTTTCTCTCACTTGGCCACAGGTAAAGTGTGTGCGGTACTGGCCAGATGACACAGAGGTCTATGGAGATATTAAAGTCACCCTAATTGAAACAGAGCCCCTAGCAGAATATGTCATCCGCACCTTCACAGTCCAGAAGGTAAGTTTCCCTTTCTGTGAGAAGTCCCTCTTCCAAGCCAGTTGACTGATCTGTCTACCCAGACAGTAGAGACCAAGGGACTGATTTGTGCCTTCACACCTGGCATGATAGACAGAACAGTAATCACAGTAGACTTGGCTGTTACAGTGGAATAATTAACAGACTTCAAGACAATGCCATGGACTAATTGTGATAAGAGCTATAAGGGACCAAAGGATGGAGAGAGAATCTACAGGGGCACCACTACATACCCCTAGAGCTGGAGTAATTTGTAAAGTGGAGAAATTTAGGGCTGAGAAGGCTCTAGCCAAGTAAAGGATGGGAGGAATAATATCCTTGACCAAGGGTCAAAAACATAGTGTGGTAGGAAAAAGGACACCAACATTTCCAAGGCTGGTAATCTAGTCTGGGTCCAATCTCAACAAGGAGGAACTGGGACCTCTATCAGTGTCTGAAGACATATGGGAGCATTACAACTTGAGAGAGGGTATTTTGTTACTGACATCTAGTGAGTGGGGACCAATAGTGCTGCTAAATTACCCACAACACATGTGATAAAGAATTATCCAGACCAGCATGTCACATCTGTGATTGTCGAGGTTGAGAGACGCTGGTGCACACATTTGTGCTCCTGCTCACTATGGACATACTACTGAGGCTAACCTCCAGGGTGAGTCAGCTGGTGCCACTTTAGAATGGACATGTAGAGGGAATGGAAAGGGGACAACTAGGAGGTGCCAACCAGCAACACTGCACAGTCAAAGCCCTATGAAGAGGGCCTGCCTGAATGGGCACCAATCTTACCTAATAAGTCCCCCACTAATGTCAAGAGGGGCTGAATGCCAATTCATCTCTCTAAGCCCAGACCCAAATAGGGAGGAAGTGTAACCTGCTGAAGGAGTAGGGTCTTTCCTTGGCTTTTCTTTTTCTTTCTTCCTTTAAACAATCAGAAAGGGAGGCATTGCCTATAGGAAACTTCACTTATAAATAAGACCTCACAAATCTCTAAGGATGAACACTACATCTTCTCCATGGTATATGGACAGGCAATCAGCAAACTCTATCAGCAGCTCTAGCGCAACACCAGTTCCTGAACCGGAAACCCAGGAACAGCAAACAGAAATGTCCTGAGCTCCTGGGACAGTTCTACCAGGGACAGCATAGCACAGGTGGGGAGGTTGTGTGCCAGTGTTGGAGACATTCTGCCTCTCCTCCCCATGCCTGATTCAATCAGGCTTTTGTCTCCTCTCTTCTAGCCTTACTCTGCCTCTCGTCTTGCTACATCTTAGTTTAGAGTTCCTGAAAGCAGAGCCCAAGACAACAGGAATTTGAATGAATTGTGTATGGAAAGGGAGGTTACAGGAGGCTGGGGCAGGACCTTAGTAGGCACTATGCTTCAGCCAGACTCTTCAGGGTCCTGGGGCAGGAATTTCTCCACAGGTATAGGGCTTGCTTACTGAGTCCCTACAAGAGTACCAATCATTCTGGCTTGCCCAGAACAGGCTAGTTTTAGCACTGGAGGTCTGTGTGGTGTCCTACAAAAGCCCTCCATTCTGGACTATTGATCAAGCCAGTTAATACCACAGTGCTTTTGTCAGGTGAAGGCTAGCTATCCCCAGCCAACCCAGGTCCAGCTGAGGGCTGACCTCTGAAGAAGGAGAGCATGAGTTGTCTCCAAAACACAGGTGCTGAGGATGGTGCACCAGCCCAAGAATCAAGATTGGCAGGACACCAACACACACCCTGGACCTGTCTTCCACAGAGCAGCCACATGGGGGACTTGATATCATGGTGCCCTTTAGATAAAGTCAGGGCTTTGGCTGGGGTTCCAGGCCTTCAGGCTTCAGCACCTCCCCACCACCACATCCAATCCTTCTATGCTGCCTTCTGTCCCCCAAATCTCATGCATGTTGCCCCTCTGTGTCCCCAGTGAAGCATGGGAGTTCATACACACATCAGCTTCATAGTGATGAGTAGTGCAGGCAATGGAGCCATATGGTCACTGTGTAAAACATCCCCCTTCTGTTTAATAGAAACCTTGTTTAGCTTCACTTTCTTTTCCAAAATGTGGAGACAGTGATAGGAGGCCTGGTCCATGACTTAAATGAATAAATGCATGGATGTGTTCAAAAGAGTTACTGGGACATCACCAGTACTTAGTATAAACGCCAGCTTCTAGTTTCCCTATCGTGTTCCCAGCCCTCAGTCCAGGATGCCTCTTCTAAGAAGCCTTCCCTGACTTCTCCCCTCCAATCATGTTCGATAATTCCCTTGTACACTCTAGTCGAATTATCTACACAGGAGTCTTCCTCACTCGGGGATAGGAGCTGTAGCTTTAGTCACCCCTCATAGTGCCTAGCACATGGCCAGGCAAAAGGTGGTCATTGGCGACTATACTAGACTTGAGATGAACAATAAAGTAGATTTTTCCTAGTGCTGGCTAGGAATTGTTCTGAATGTCTGCTGAAGACATGCAAGCAAAATACTCATGCACATGAAAATAAAAGTTAATTAATTTTAAGGAGGTTCTTCAAGAAATCACTGTAATAACTCTGCTATTACCCACTAACCCAGCAAGGGCCTCATTTCCCCACACAGAAGAGGGGCCCGTTCCTCAGTGCCACAGCCCCTAGTCCCCATGGAGCTGGGAGGGTACATTAGGTCAGCAGGTGGAAAAACAGAGGCCCATTCTCTCCTCAGAAAGGCTACCACGAGATCAGAGAGCTCCGCCTCTTCCACTTTACCAGCTGGCCTGACCACGGTGTTCCCTGCTATGCCACTGGCCTTCTGGGCTTCGTTCGCCAGGTCAAGTTCCTCAATCCCCCTGAAGCCGGGCCCATAGTGGTCCACTGCAGGTGAGTCAAACCTCTATGCCCATTCTGCAGTCAATCAGCTGTACCTGTGTGGATTTGCTCTCTGGGTGAGAGTGATACCTTCTTGTCCTGTGGACTTGGTTTCTAGCTTTAAGACTCCTTCTCCTATGACCCAAAGCCCAGCTACTCCCTGAGGAGACCTGGATCCCAAGGTCTAACAACAACAGGGGTAGGAGTTACATTACCATTATGATTGTTGCCCCAGAGACACAACCTAGTTCAGCAGCACCTGCTAGGCCTGCCATATACATGGCCAAATTATTTCACTTCCCATCCAAGCTTGAGAAATGGGTTGTATCATCTTATTATTCCTATTTTACAGATGGGGAGACTGAGGCACAGAGATGGGGGAGAGAGAAAGAGGTGGGATAGTTGACATGTCCTCTGAAGCTTCCTAGCAGCGACTTGATATGGGATACCTTGGTATAAGTATGCATCTCTTCGCTCCTACTATTTTTAAAATCAATTGCTGGCCTGCAGGGTCCTTAATAGAGAGCAAGTGGTCAGCATCAGCTTCCCTTTATTACAGAGATGGGAAATTTTCAGCTTTGACCTAGAAAGTCACATTGAACATAAGTGGCATTGAATCCTCCTAAATGGAGATGAAGTGTTGTGTCAAGGGCATTTAGAATTGGAGGAAGGTAGATGTCCATACCTGAAGGCCACAGTGTCTGTATTCCTCTCCTTCCCAATGCCCCTCCATTTCAATGTGACCTTGAGCTTAGCCCATCTTCGTATACCTTGTATGTTCAGGCCATCTCATCCTTCCTGGCTATGTCTGTGTCAGCCCAGAAGCCAGGGAAGACTCTGCGAATGTTTCAGAGGCAGCCCCTCCCTGTATGAAAATGGCCCACAAAGCATCCCTTTGTGTTCTCCATAGTAGTAGATATACATCTACATTTCATAGGTAGAAACTGAGGGTTTAGCAGAAACCTCTGCACTGTCTGAGCATTTGGCATGGATTTTCTGCTTTGCCTATCATAGTAAACAAAGAGAGAAAAGAGCATTAGTGTCTAAGCCCAATATCCCCAGCTGCAGCCAGAGGTCAGGAGGAAGAGAGGAAGGTAGATAATGGAAAATATTCACCAGACCCTCTGCCATGTGCAGTACTGTGTTTGATGGCCTGTGCCTGCATCTCCATAGCAAGTCACTCTAAAGTGTCTAAGCAGAGTGGTACCTACTTCTGGGGCTGTTAGGGTTTGGTAAATGTACATTAAGTGCCTGAAAGAATTCCAAATATCATAAGCACTTAAATCTACCACTCTTCCTACCTCTTAACATTATCCAACACCCCAGATGGGGCTTAACAAATTCTTTAGGACCAGAAGTGTGTCTTACTCATCTTCTTATCCCTACCCTTAATCTTGGCATCCAGGGCATCATGGATGCTCAATAAATATTTGTGGATTATAAGTAGTCAGGCTCAAAACTAAAATTTTACATGCATTATGCTTCTAAAATGTAATTTAATGCAATTTACATATAACATGCTATTAATATTAAGAGGTATGGAGCCAGTTTTATTTTATGAATAAGAACAGTGAAACCCAGAGAGATGAAGTCATTTGCCCAAGGTCACACAGCTAGTCAAGATTTAATCTCAGGGATCTCAAATATCATGTGTTTAACTACAGTTTTATTCTGTGGGGGCAGGGGGGAGGGTTATAGCATAGCTCAGACTTTTCAAAAACTCTTCTGGGAGGCACGAACTGAGGCTCACAGATACTAAGCACTTTATTCTCCGATACTGTAGCCTAGATAGAAAGCTAGTGATGTTAGTTCTTTCCCATGTGATGTGTTGAGGATGTGACTTTGGGAAACAGATGAATGAGTGAATTTTTATAGACCACTTCCCAGGCTCCAGACCCATTTGAAAGGAGCTCAACAGAATGGGTCTGGAGTACACTAGGCACAGGTATTTTGAGGCAAGAATAAGGTAGGCTCCATTCAGTTCAAACCATGGTGTTTTATCACCAGTGAAGACTGCTTACCAACCAAACAACAACAACAAAAACACGTTCAATTTTGCCAGGCATTGGTGGCGCACCCCTTTAATCCCAGCACTCGGGAGGCAGAGGTAGGCAGATCTCTGTGAGTTCGAGGCCAGCCTGGTCTCCAAAGTGAGTGCCAGGATAGGCTCCAAAGCTACACAGAGAAACCCTGTCAGGAAAAACCAGAAAAAAAAAAAAAAGAAGAAGAAGAAAACTGCTTCCAAGGGGCTTGGTTTCCAGATCACTAATATAGGGATCCCCACTTGCCTATGCTTCTTGGACATATCAGCCAATGCTGCTTTTGCTCTCATCGCATCCATACCCTTGCATTTCCTTTGATTTCCGCATTGTTAGACAAAGACATTTGTTTCCACGGGGTAAGTAAAATGTGAAACCACCACCAATGTGGGCTTCCATGGCAGTCTGCCCTGCTTTCCCTGCCAAAACAGAGACAGCACAGACCGGTGTTCTATGATTCAGCCCTACTGCTTTATAACCTGGAGTTGATCTGGAGAGATCTGGCTATGCTCCGGGGGTCTTGTGGAATCCTCTTGCCCTTTCATGTCTGGTTTGAGGTTATCCTATTAAAGCTTGTCTCTAATTAGAAACTGACTATATGTCAGGGAACCTGGTGTCTGATGAGGGTCCCCAGGCTGTCAGCTGCTCTAGTTTGATGATGTGACTCACTCATGACCCTGAGGAATCCAGCACAAATGGGTCAACTGCAAGGCCTTGAGTAGAAGACACCATATTGACTCTCTGCCTTTGACACAGCTCAGAGCTCCCTGGTCCCTGCTCTCTCACTAGTGTCTTCCCTGTAGCCTCTGTCCTCTTCTTGCTCCCATCCACCAACCCATTTGCTGACAAGAAAACAAGAGGATAAAAGAAGAAGAGAGAAGAAGGCTCCTGTGTGCAAGGCACTGATAAGTGTTTACACTGTACCCCCTGGACTATATCCATCAGATGAAGAGCCTACAGGCACACCTATTATGAAATCTTGCATTGCACATTATAAATCTCATTAAGAAGGGTAGTAGAAATTCTAGACTGCATAGGGGAACTCTCAGCTATCCCAATTGTCAGCTCTATGACCTCAGGCTAAAAGCTCTCTGTGCCTCAGCTTCTCACCTATGAAATGGGATAAGAAGCACACCTATCCCCTTACAGGGAAGTCCATAAGCATATTTGTAAAGTACAACAATGTGTGTCACTTTGTAAGCACTGAATAAGCGTCTGATAAATAAGTACAATAAAATAAGCCCCCACACACATACAAACAACCCCAATTGTAAGCATTACTCTCCCATTTAATAAGGAAAATTTTGATCACTTGTTCAGCATAGCCCAGTAATGTGGGGGTTCCAACCATTCCACCTGACTGTACAACACACTGCCTTTCCACAAGGCTTTTGAAACAGGGCTGAATATGGTAGGGGTCTTGTCACCATAATTCATCCTATCTTAAGATCCCTAACACACACCAAACTTCTCTTCCAGTGCTGGAGCCGGGAGGACTGGCTGCTTCATTGCCATTGACACCATGCTCGACATGGCTGAGAATGAAGGGGTGGTGGACATCTTCAACTGTGTGCGTGAGCTGCGGGCACAGAGGGTCAACCTGGTGCAGACTGAGGTTAGTCCAGGGGCACTGAGACAGATAGTTTCCTGATACCTTGGCCATGGAGAAGCATGGTAGTACAGAGGCTCACTAGTGGAGAAGTCATGTGGAGAGCATGCAACTGCACACATGTTAGTATAGAATGACTGTGTAGTCTGCTCTGGTGAGAGGCCTCAGCCAATCCTGAGAGTCTATGGTAAGGAACTTCTGGCAACAGTGATTGTTGAGCCCTCTATCTTTTCAGTCATTCAAAACTGAATAGCAGTTGTCAGAGATAGTAGTCCAGTCTTGGATGAAGGGAAGTATTGATACTTATTACCTGTGCTGTGCCAAGAGCTCAGTCAGTCCTTGGTGGAAATGGCTTAACCAACAAAGTGCACTTCTTTTAGGTTTATTTATGTTATTGTATGTGTTTATTTTACCTGTGTATATATAAGTGCGCCTCATGCATGCATGCCTGGTGCTTGCAGAGGTCCAAAGACCCAGTTGGATCTCCTAGAGCTGAAGTGACCATGGTTGTGAGCCACCACGTAGGTGTTGGGAACCAAACCCTGGTCCTCTTTAAGAGCAACAAGTCCTCTTAACTACTAAGCCATCTCTCCAGTTCAAAGCTCTTGAGAACTTTGACAGGAGCTAGAGGCTGGGGATTCTTAGAGGGGCATATGCAACCCTTACCCTCAAGGAAAGGCAGATGCCTAGGTTCCTTTCTATCTGGCTGGAGAGCCCAATGCCTGAGGATAATATAAGTAAGGCAGGTCTGGATTGTTGTCACCTACAGTGAGCCAAGAAATGTGCATTCTTTGTGTCTAGGATACTTCCCCTACTCTTCACAGCCCATGATATATCTCCTACTCACGTCTCCACTTTATCAGTGGAGAGCACACTGAGAAATTATATTCCTAAGTCTTCATATGGACAAAGCCAAGTGGTTTGTCCTGAACTACTTTCTCTTGTTAATCAAGTTTTCAGTCTATCCCACTTCTGCATGCCTTGGGTTGTTGTTCCTGCAATGAGTTGACCTTTTGGTTCTAGAAAAGGCTGTGGATGTCCTAGAAGATCTAGAATCCCTGGGAACTGTACTCATATCAGCCCTCCAAAGCCACGTAGCCATGGCTATGGGAACATCAGTCCCTGCAGATGCTGACTGAAAGCTTCATCACACTGGATTCTACTGCAGCCTCTGAGACAGCCCACAAGCCAGTTCCCGGGCCTCTAACACTACAGCCAAGATGACTGTGCTGTCTATGCTTAAGACCATGCCTGTAGACGGCATTTGCAGTACATAGAATCAGACACATGGCCCTCACTGCCAGGCATGGAGACATATTTAAATATAAATGCATCATGATACATTCAAATGCACTGTATTTAAATGAGTCAAATATTTGTTGAAAAATGTTACCCAACAAACACTTATAAAGATCCAGAATTAACAATAAACTTATGCTTAATAGATTCTAAAAATACTTCCTGGAAAGAACAAAACACAAAGATATAGGAAAGGAAAGGAATTATAGCCAAAGAGAATAGCAGGTATGAAGACTCAGGATGAGAGAGGACGAGGCACGCTAGGGGAGAGGGCGTGGCATACTTGTTAGAGTCAGACCCTGAGACACAGCTTTCAGGGAAAGCTCTCTTTGGAGGCAAACCCAAGGCACTCTGGTTGCTGAGTGTAAAGTGGGATGAGAACAAATGGAGAAAACACTAAATACGCTCCAGGAAGTAGGAAGAAAGCCCTTCACAGAGAAGAGCAGGGTTTCTGCAGCAAGCAGCTTTTGGATGAAAGCTGGGAGCATGAGCAGAGCCTTGAGAGCACCTGCAATGACATGTGCTTGACTTCTCATTCTTATCAGTGGCTCTGCCATTCCATCTTATACAAGGGCAAAATGCACCATAGCTCAATCACTGTGAAACATGGTGACTTAGACCTTTGGGTGATGGGATAAAAAGCAAGGATTCTGCAGAATAAATCATGTCCTTTTTCCATTGCTACAAGATTCATTCGATGTGGACAAGATGCTCACAGATAGCTGTTCTTACCTGGAGCATTCTCCCCTCCTCTTGACCTTGCAGGAGCAGTATGTGTTTGTACACGATGCCATTCTGGAAGCATGCCTTTGCGGCAACACCGCCATTCCTGTGTGTGAGTTCCGCTCTCTCTACTACAACATCAGCAGACTGGACCCCCAGACTAACTCCAGCCAGATCAAAGATGAGTTTCAGGTATGGGAAAAGCCAAGGTTCAGGGACTTAGCTGCTTTGGATTGTCCTAACAAATTCCCATAGTCTGGATGACTTCTGTGGCAGGCAATTGCTTGCCCCACTTCTGGAATCAGTGGAGCCCAAAAGCCAACAGCCAGCAAATCTAGTATCTGGGGACAGCTCAGACACCAATGTAATTTATGAGAGGCTGCTTCCTTATAGTTTCATATGGTAGAAAATGGAGAAGGAAATGCCCGTGTATATTTTCATAGGGACATGGATCCCATTCATAAGGACTCCACCCTGGTGATCCAATTACTTCCTACAGCCCTCCTGCCATATACCCCTTTGGGAGCTAAGATAGTAACATATATATGGAGGGAGATGTATACATTCAATTTATAGCAATGACCCAGGAAAGTTAGTGCATATTGTAGACCTTTCTTGGTGAGATGGATGTGTGTGTGCTTTCAGCCTACAGTGCCTGGCAGCTGTGGAGAGCTTTTCACACCATCAGATTGCACAGTCATTAGCAACTATTAACCAATCACTCAATGATGGCTGACAGTTGTTTTTGCACTGTGATTATGCTATTGAACTGAGGTCTTGGTTAATTCTTGTTGATGTTGTGGAATGGACAGAAGTTTATATGCTGATGCTGGTGTGAATTTCATGCTTCTTTGACTCTGGAGGGACTGGAGCCCCAGTGTTTTCTCCACAAATTCTTTAAACCCATCATCTGGACTTGATGCTTGTTGGAAATGAGGACTCTTGGTCCCCACCCAAACCTACTGAATTAGAACGTCCAATTTAACAGGATCCTAGGGGCATTTATCTATATGCTTGTTAAGCTTTTAACATCTTAGAGCATGACTCAGACATGGCAGAGTCACATGTTGGAGTCAGGACAGTCAAAACTGCAGCTTTGGTTTAAAAGCCCGGGATATAAATGACTAAGTAGAAAGCTAAAGACCTAGACGTGGATCATTGAGTAAAACATTAGAGTTCAGAACTTCATCCCATGGCCAAAGACTAGGATGAAGCAAATGCCTGGCCCACAGTGTTCCAGTCAAGCTGGTATTTTAGGACTCCTAGAAACAAGTAATCTTTATTGTCTTAGAGATAGCATGCCAAGTGACAGAAGGATGAAAAAAACGCAGCACCCTGGTCATTGCACACAGGAACAGCCCTAGTCCCTAACTGGGTGAGGACTTACTCTACTTACATAACAAAAGCCTTGCAATTTTTTTGGCATACTAGTTTGCCCCACATGGTCTCTTATTCACCCTGAGGAGCACATCCTAGCATCCATCCATCCTCCTACAATTGAGACACTTTTATCACAGAGAAAAGGGCTGGAGAAATCACTTCCTTCTTTCCATGGCACTTCAAGTGGTGTTTAACATTCATTAAGGATTCTCTACCCCATTTCCTGCCATATGCCCTTCTGGCTGGCCCTCCTTTAATGTTATGCTAGCTCAGTTAAACAACAGTTCAAATAGTTGGCAGGTATCAACCCATGTCTTAGCCTGTGTATGGGCATGCTGCCCCTGCAGCCTTGGCATCTCAAAGGTGTCACAAAGCTCCTGGCAAAGTCTCTTACACTAGAAGTTCTGTAGCTACATGCAGGATATAATAGAGTATCACTGTCATGAGAGAAGAATGAATTTGGGGAAAGCCATGGCAGAGCCAAGCTTGGAGATGTAAAGACAGGTGAGTTAAGCTAACCTGGGATATCTGCTCCTTTGCTTGGACGCAGCTTCCTGTGCAATACTCCTCTAGTCACCTTTGTGTCCCACAGACACTCAACATCGTGACACCTCGAGTGCGGCCTGAGGACTGCAGCATCGGCCTCTTACCCCGGAACCATGATAAGAACCGGAGCATGGATGTCCTGCCTCTGGACCGCTGCCTGCCCTTCCTTATCTCAGTAGATGGAGAGTCCAGCAATTATATCAACGCAGCACTGATGGATGTAAGCTGAGCATGGCAGGAAGCCCCTGGCTGCCATTACAGAAAAAGCTCTGTCCCAAAGTGGAGATGGCTGAATCCCAGAGCCCTGACCCTACTGGTCACCTTGCATCTAGCTTCTGGCCTTTGAGACCATTTTTCCCCCTGAAGCCTCATGTCTAAACCAAGATACATTGCTTTTGGCTCTTTGGCTTAAAGAAGGTAGACAGAATAGATGAACTGCTGGAAAAAATTCCTATAACAGCTCAAGTTGATGTTCTATCCTGCATGTTTCTACCTCCCATAAAAGTGACTCTCAGCCAGAAGTTCAGTTCTGGCCACATTCCCCACAGTTTGAGACCTCAGGAGATAAAATGCAGTACATCATCTTGGGGTAACAGCCCATTTAGCTCCTCAGATAACTCCTTTGCAGAGGCAAAGGGGAAAATAGTACACAATAGACACTCAGTAAATGGCTACTGGGCAGTGATTGGAAGCATTAAAAGGATCAAGAAGAGAAACATCATCCCCTGTCTCTTCAATAGCATGTCCAAGAAGGGAACCATTCCCAGCTCTGGACTGGAGTTAGGGAAATGTCCTGACCAGTAGTCCCATGCCTCTATCTCATATGCCTCATGCTTGGGCCTTTGGGCATCTTCGAGTTAGCATCATTGCACCTTCAGGATATGCAGATGCTTACAGCGGTATGAACCATAGACATTCTAGTCTTAGCCATGCTCCTTTCAGCAGGGGAGACCAAGGCAGACTAAGGAAGACTTGCTCAGGGTATCCCATGTTTCCATTCTTCATAAAAGCCTGGCTGAATGCAAAAGCAGGGAGCCTTGTATGGGTCCTGGTAATTACTGGAATTCCTCAAGAGCAAAAAAGACTTCTGATATTAGCTTACGGCTATCCTCTAAGATCTTTCTCTCTTCCTCTCTCTTTCTAATTCATCTCCCCCTCCTCTCCCTCTATCTCCTGTCCCCTCCCTCTCCCTCTTTCCCCTCCCCACCCTCGTGTGTATGTGTGTGTATGTGTGTGTGTGTGTGTGAGAGAGAGAGAGAGAGAGAGAGAGACAGAGAGAGAGACAGAGAGAGAGAGAGTGATAACATGGTTCAGAGATACACCCATTCTCCAAGCTCCTCCCACCATTATCCCTCACTGCTCAGCATCTTCTCTCACTAACTTCTACATCCAAGTAAGGATCAAGGAAGCTCCTGGCCTCTACTTCGTAGGTTAGATGCTGCCTGGAGTCAAATGCCTTCTGCCAAGCTCTAGTTCTGATTGTATTCTCTTTGTCCACGGGGCATTTCTCTTGTGAGCCATCACTGAGGCCTTTGCCTTTCTTATATTAAAAAAAAAATTCCTTATCTGTATTCCAGCCCCATCTGTGCATTATCTGGTAACCATAGCAGCTTTGCCTCTAGCAGAAAAATATGAAGTCCTCTGGGTTAATTTTTAATGTTTCCCCTGGGAAAGGATGATGTTATCCATGAAATGGATTGCTGGCTGATCCCTGAAACCCGGCAGGAGCACAGATCTCGAACATATTTTCAGATAAGACTTTGTCAGGCGTGCTGGCCTAATAGAGCATTTATCACAGAGACAGGGAAAGCAAAGAAAACTAACATTTACTGCATGTCAGGCACCATGTCAGCCTCTGGACTTGTATTGTCTCGTTCTGCCCTGGAGTGTTACTCTCCCCATTTTTTGGAGATCTACCAGGGGTCAGAGCATTTCCATCACTTGCTCAAAGTCAACTGGCTTTGGAATTGACTCCAACCAAGTACCAGAGCCATGTGCCTACACTGTCTTAAAAAGCATTAGTTTCTAATTTTTTTCTCTTATATGTATGAACATTTTACCTGACTACCTATCTGTGCACCATGAGTGTGCCTGAACTGGTGCCTGCAGAGACCAGAAAGAGGTTGTGTGTGCCTGATGTCTGCAACTTCCTGAAGTTGGAATTATAGACAATTGTGAGCCCCCATGGGGTGCTGGGAGTTGAACTGGGCTCCCCTGGGAGAGCCACAAGAGCTCTTAAATGCTGAACCATCTCACTAGCCTTATCCTGGATTTAGATTTTAAAGTTTGAAAATGTCTAAAAGGCCATGCTGACATGGCCATTCAGCTTTGAGAGATTTAAAGGGTCTGTCTCCAGGTACCCTTGTGTTAGATCATCTACTAGCTAAAAGAAGGCCCCAAGAAATGAGAATCCCCAGTGCAGACATGAAAGACATGTCTGCAAGGCCTTGCCATGCTATTTCTGAGGTCTCTGACCCTCTTCTCTCCCCATTTCCTTGTGATTTGTGACTCTAGTACAACTCTGACTCCCACATGGACCAGCTACCCAGAAAATGTGTTGAAACATTGACTTGTTCTCAGGTTTCACAAGCTATTGGTGAAGTAGAAACAGCCCCACAATCTTTCCAAATACTTCCTCCTGAGGTGGCGTTGCACATGGGGCCCAAATGAAGCTTCCAGACTCACACAGGGCATCTCCCCTCTCAAGCCTCAGTGTCTCTATCTGTAACACAGGGTGAAATTAAAGTATTTACAAGTGTTGTGTTGTGATTGTGTCTACTGTGCTCCAGCTACAATGCTGATGCTGAGAAAGATAACCTAAGCCAAGAGTATTTCTACCCTGCAATCAACTTGATTACTTTTTAAAGGGTTATTTTTACTATTTTTGATTATGTATGGGTATGTGTATCTGCAAGTGGATATGAGCATGATGGTTGTAGAGCTTAGATGCATCAGATACCCTGGAATTGGAGTCACAGAAAGTTCTGAGCTGCATGGTGTGTCTTCTGGGAGCCAAACTCAGGTCTTCTGGAAGAGCAGCAAGTGCTCCTAACCATTGAGCCATCTCTCTAGCCCTAGTTTCCAAGGATTTTTTTATTTGTTTGTTTGTTTGTTTTTATTTTGCAAGTCTCACTCATTATATAACAACCATCTCTTTAGATCTGAGTTGCATTTTCCTCCAGGAAAAGAGTCTGCGCTTTGAAACCATCTACTGATTCACCAGTATTTAGTACTTGACTGACTCCCCACAATGATATTTAAAAACATGAGTGGATGATAAATGGGTGGATTATGCTGGATGAATAAACAGATGGATGAGTCATATTTACAAGGGGCATAACTGGGCTTGGACCTCAGATCCACATGACTCTAATTCCTTGTTGCCTTCCACCATCTTGTTGGCTAAATGGTACTGCCACCTCTGGCCAGGCTAGCTCAGCCCTAGATCCAGGCCAGAGACAGAAGTGATCCCTGTCATCTGAGCCCCCTTAGAGCCATTGGTCCTTTCTTCAGCACCATAAGCACAGGAACTTGTGGGATCCCTGATATCCCAAGAGATGTCTTAGCCAGCAGCACAGCAAACCTGCATCCAGGATCTTTCATTTCATATTGTAATGATGATTTGCTAAGTTCCAAGACATAAATAATTTATTTGGATAATCCCCATCCAAGTGACACTTTCCTAATGAAATGTCTTAGTTTAGAGGAGAATGTGTTCATTATGAGAAGGTCCCCTTTGCCGCCGGGGCACTGAGAGATAACAGAGCAGGCAGGTGCTGTGTGAAATCTATTTGGCAGGCTCAGGGCCTCTGGCAGCCATCCCGGCCTCATCATGATCAGAATATCACTGATGGGTATGTATTTGACTAAACCTGTGTCATTCCTTTGTCAGAGCCACAAGCAGCCTGCCGCCTTTGTGGTCACCCAGCACCCTCTTCCCAACACTGTGGCAGACTTCTGGAGGCTGGTGTTCGATTACAATTGTTCCTCTGTGGTGATGCTGAATGAGATGGATACTGCTCAGGTAGGAGGGGGCCATGAAACTGCTATTGGTGGGTACCAGTGAGTCATGATCAGTATGCTGTAGACTTTCATGGAGATTCTACAACGCCCCGCTGGCGGGCACTGTCAGACTATGAATGCCAGGCACACTCCTTCTGCTGCCTACAGGGTCAAGGAGTCTCCCACCGAATCTTTCATGAAAGACCCCCATAAATTAGTCCACTTGGCTATGGGATTTGTCTAACTACACTAAGAACAATACCCTTTTGTCCCTGCCTCAGACACTAGTTATAACCTTACTCTAAATCATAAAGGGCTCAGAAAACCAAGATCCCACACAACACCGAACACCAATCCCAAAGACTCTTCATCACGTGGCCTCTGCTGGCAGAACCTCAAGTCTGGACCTAGGAAGCTTTGCTCCCTGACCACAGCTAAGCCTTGACTTCATGCATTATCCCCTCTGTGTCTTCCAACTCCACTAATCATGTGTCTACACTTCCCCACACCTAAGACACAGGACGCTATCTTGGGCAACCTCTAGAGACCACCATTATATGGCAAGACAGCTATTCTGGAGCAGATGAGATGAAGGTGGCCTTTCAGAGTTTTGCAATGTGTTTTTTCAGAACCTTGAAGGAAACCAAAGTCATTCAGTGCACTCTTGTGTGAGTACCGGCCTTGCACAGGCCTTGGGTGGGAATAATTGGGCTATAGTCCCAGCCTTCCAGGAGCTGCCAGTCTTGCTACAGAGACAGATGGGTGAGTTATCCCAGGCTCGTGTGGTTGCGCTGTAATAGAGGTCAGCAATGAAGTGCCATGTTGACCTAGAGCAGAGAGCAATTAATTCTACCCAGAGGGTGGGGGAAGACTTGGACCTTGAAGGGGGCAGGGAAGATCTGGTCATACAGGGGATGAATTGCTGGGAAAAGGCATTCTGCATAGAGGGAACAATGTAGGCAAAGGCAGATGGACATATAGAGCTTGTTTGTAATCAGCTTCAGTTCCAGTGCACTGGGGCTGTATCTGGAGGGAAAGAGTAAGGTAAGACTGGAAAAGACAGCAGGGCTCAGTCAGCAGAGAAGCTCCTCATGCCAGGCTCAGGAGCTTTAGTCAGCAATGACAGAATGGGACTGCTGTTTATAAGTTGACAGGGTCCTTTCTACCAACAAAATTTTGTACAATCCCAATGAAAGAAAAGGAGTAGACAGGATCTGGGCATATTAAAGCAGGAGGTGGAGGTCCAGAGCACCACCCACACTGGTCTTTTATCTGGTCCTGATAGCCCTTCTGCAGTATCCAGGAGTTCCAAGATAATTAGCAAAACTTTGCTATACATTGCAGGTGGGCCTAAGGTTTCCAACTTGTGTTAGAAAATGGAGTATAGGACCAGAAAACACAGACATGAATCAGAGACTAGAGATACGATGTGGATTTATGCAGAAATTAAAGAGGAGATCTGAGCAGAGAAAGTAGCCAAGTCAAAGGATAACTTGGGCTAGATGTGAAATCATTTCCACTGTGGAGTCCACACACTCCAGGGAGCAGCTGCATGTGGATGGAGATGAGAAGACATCACAGATGGTTGCATGTAGCTTGTTTAGGTGGTCAGATATCCAGGAAGCACCTGGCCAAAATGGAAAGGTAGGAAGATGGGAGGGGCAAGTATGGACAAGAGCAGAATAGAAGGGGAGTAAAATTAATGTATGTTGGAATGTGTCCATGAGAGAGATCCAAAAGAGGTTCCCCTCATTCACACAATCCATATTCGTTGAGCATCTGCTACTGCTATTTGCTGGAAGCTATTCTAGGTTCTTGGAATGTATCAGTGAACAACACAGACGAGGTGAAGTAGGAATATTCCTGTCTCCCGTGCAGTTCCTATTCTAAAGGGGAGAGACCAACCATAAACAACAAATGCTCTATAATGACCTCGATCATATACTGGGACATGATGAGAAGGAAGCATGATGAATATTTTAAAACTGGATTGGGGCACAAGACACAGATGTACTAGAGTAGTCAAGGAAGGACTTGAAGATATGCGAACACAGAGTTGAAGGAGGCTAGAGAGCAAGCCACATGCTCCTCCCAGGGAACAGTGTCTCATGCAAAAGAAACATGTGTCCAGACAGTGTGGAAGGAAAACGCCTGGTGCTCTGAGGCCAGTAAGATGGGTAGAGCTGCAGGCAATGACATCAGAAGAGTAACAGGGAACATGCCATGGGTGACCTTAGTCATCATGGGGAGAACTTGTAGTTTCACTCTGCAAAGGATAGGGAGACCCAGACAGACTTGGCAGGAGAGTGACACCACTTGACTGTTAAAAGTACAGAGTGTGGCAACAAGAATAGTCAGGTTCAGGGGATGGTGGCTTGAGCAGGATGGTAGCATGGTATAGATTCTACGTGTATCCCAAAGGTAAGAAGACAAAGTATGCTGCCTGGTGGAAGATGGGAAGTAAAGGATGTCATTAAAGATTAGGGCCTGAAGAATGGAGGGTTGGTTGGGAATAGAGTTAACAACAGAAAAAATAAATAAATAAATCCCCCTAAAAGACAATTCTAGGAATTTCTTTATCGAGTTCCAGAATCAGAAATTATCAACAGTCTTCTGCTTGGGCAAGTAAGGTAACTCACCTTTATGAGGTGCCAGTGAAGTGTGACCTACAAAAGCCCATGTGCGCTCATTAAAGTTGTGGCTCAATGACAGCGCACTGGACCAGCGTCCATGAAGCTCTAGGTTCAATCCCCAGGAGAAAGATGAAAGTCTGTTTACTCTTCTCTTTATCCAACACCCATCTGGCAAAATTGGAGCTTGGGAACAGAATGGCAATTGTGAAGAACCTTACTTTGGAGCACCCAATGTCAAGGTTGCTGACTCAGGCTCTCCCTTTTAAAGAATAGATCCTTGGCGAATGAAAGATCTCTCAGCCCAGATGTTGGTGCAGCCCTTGAGAACCGAGTCTCTGAATGTAAAAACATCAGGCTCAGAAGCACCCCAAGGTTGGCTGCCATACACAGCTGGCAAACATCCTCTGAAATCGGCAGATGAATAGAGCACTTATTGATATAAATATCATCACCACAGCAGCTGGGAGCGTTGCAAAAATAAACAGAGATTTAGCATGAGCATCAGAAAAGCCGCCTTCAGCACCTGGAGCGTGGTTCTTTGAAGTAGTATGAACATTTGTCTGTTAACATGCTCCTGCCAAGACAGCTCAGCATGTGGGCCAGGCCAGCAAGGTGGACAAGACTGCTTAGGTCCTAAGTATCTCTCAGTTCCTCCTAAGAAAACTAACAGCATGTCCTGTGGTTTGACTGGTGCACTCCTGTTGGAGGGTGGTCAAGCTACGGACAGGATGCAGTCGGGAGCCTTTATTTCCTTGTGCTGCTGTGGAAATTGGTCTACCTTTGCTCTTAATCCTACGCTTCTTTGAAGCAGCCATCTGCACCACAGTATTATTTTCCAAATACATACTGACTGATCAGAGAACTGTGATCCATGAGAACTGTTGATCAAGATTCTCAAACCTCTGCCTTCAGCCCTAGAGTTTTTATAAACTCTTTAAGACTCTGGGTCTGGAAAGTAACTTGCTGGTTGAAGTTCTTGCTTTGCAAGCATGAAGACCAGAATTCAGATCCCCAGAATCTATGTAATGCCAGACACAGTAATACAATCCCAACATTCTTACCCCAAGATAGGAAGCAGAGACAGGAGAATCCCCAGAAGCTTGTGGGCTGGTTAGTCTGGCATACATGGTGGAAAACAAAAGACCCTTTGCCAGCTAAGGTGGAAGGTGGGGACCAACACTAGAGCTTGTCGTCTGACCTCTACACATGCACTCTTACATGAACATGTATACAACCACTGAAACACACCCACACAGCAGTGCGGACAATACACACAAGATACACCTATTTTAAAGTTTTTATTACAGGTAGTATTTTTCTTGTGGGCGTGTGTCAGTCTTTCTGTCTCTCTGTCTGTGTCAGAACACATGTGCCATGGCTCACATGTGAAAATCAAAGTACAACTTGTGGAAGTCAGCTCACCTTCCACCCCAGGGCCAAACTCAAATCATCAGACTTGTTGGAAAGTACCTTTATCTGTTGAGCCAACTCACCAGCCTACATAAGAGGAGGAGGAGGAATAGGAGGAGGAGGAGGAGGAGGAAGAGGAAGAAGAAGAAGAAGAAGAAGAAGAAGAAGAAGAAGAAGAAGACTCCAAAGACCTGTTTGCCTCACACATTCCATGCTCCTGTAGGAAATTCTGTAAACCCTCTTTCCTTCCCAGGAGAAAGTTAGCCTTTGTCTGCCATAAGAGTAAATTTCCATCCACCATGCAGCAATCGCATTCTCACTTATAGGACCACGGGAAGATGAGGTATGTGAATGCCCTTTGATCACAATCCTGGGATGTTTCTTTCTATGTTCTTGTACCTTCCATCCTTACTCCCATAGTTTCTCTTCCTTAACTGACCACAGTGCCAAAACCAATTACATAGCTTTATAGAATCCATTTAGAGGAATGTTATAATCACTGCCCAGAATTCTAACACCAACTCAGGTGACTCCATTATATTTCTATTCTTAAATTATGCATAATTCACTTCCCTGTTAGGTGGCCCAGGGTTGAGCCTTCCCCCACCCCAACCCCAGAGGATCACAAGACCCTGCTATCTAGAGTCATTCATTTATGAGGCTGTGATATTACCTGCCCTTTCCTACTTATCAAAGGATTTTTAATTAACAAAAGGCATAACTTAAGCTGTACCAAAACATACTTTAATTTTTTCCCAAAAATAGGCCCATCTGCTTTCTTTCATTCAACTCACCAGGGCCTGTTTATTATCCCAGCGACCAGACTAACAAGCTTTCAGATTCCATCACCAGGAAAAAGATGTTTAATGAGGAAGGCTGCCTCTGCATTTGTCCCATTTCATGCCTGAACTTGTGTCCCCTTCCCAAAGGACACCTTTTCATGGCCTGAACAGCCATGGTGTTCAGGTGGAATAATGTA